CTTCCCAGTGCTGCAGGACAGGCACTGAGGAGGAAAGCACCCCTTTCACCTTGTAGCTGTTTGACTCCCACCACGCCCTACAGCCAAACCCAGCCTACATCTTGTCTCCCCTCTACACACATCCCCGACCCCACACATCCCAACCCCACCCACCCACTCACCGAACCCAGTTTCCACCTCCTCTCCCCTCCCAGGCAAACTCGACCCCTCAGTGACCAGATGCAGTCTGCCCCCTTTCTGTCCCCCCACCTGATCCACCCTCTCTCTTCCCTCCCAGCCAAACCTGATTTTCCTGCCCACCAATCCCAGTCCGCTCCCCTCTCCCACTTCCCTCCATTGACCGAACTCCAACTCCTTTCCCTCTCCCCGCCAAACCCTCATGTCCCCTCTCCCCAGCACGCGTGGAAATGTTGGCGCACCCTGAGGGAGGGGTGAAAGTGGCACGGGTCCCCCTGGGGATGCGCGCGGACACATCCAGGAAACATAAAGGGCAAGGCCAGAGACACCTCTCTCCCTCGCCGCTCCCCCTCCCACCTCCAAATCTCTGAGCCGGGGCAAGCGAGGCCCCCTCCAGCGGTTCCTCGGCCTCAGACCAACCAGATCGGGCTGCAAAGTAGCTCTTCCCTCCCCCTAGCCTAGGTGCCTCTGCTTGAATCATCCTGGCCCAGGCAGGGCCTTCCTTCTACCCGGCCCCACCAATGCTGCAGCTCTCCCATCCCTCCAACCAGCACTGAAGTGATGTCATGGTGCCTCAGCCAATCATGGCAGGGTTGTGAGCACAACTTGCCCTGTGCACCCTGCCTGCAGAGGGTGGCTCGCTCCTGGCCCATCATGCACTCTGCCACCCCTCCCATTGCCTTGGGCAGCCACAGGGAGGCCCGCGTCGGGCAGTAAGGGCTAGGAGTTCTCTGGCCAGTGTCTCTCAGGGGCAGCCCGAATGCCGCCCCTGGAAACGTGCCGCCCCAAGCACATGCTTGGTTTGCTGGTGCCTAGAGCCGGCACTCCATGGGCACGCATAAGTGCCTCGGCAGGTGCCATGGCGCCCATGGGCACCGCATTGGGGATCACTACTGTAGTCCTTGAATCTTGTTCACCACTTGTCTCTGGGTTCTTTCTTCTCCTGTTACTGTTTTCTTTTCCGATAAGGTGACCAAAGATGAACATATGCATTGTAGGTGAGGGCAACTTACAGATTTGTTAATAAAAGGGTTTGCACAGAATAGAATGGGATTGTTACATTTCTATTCCATGCTTTATTCATTGTAAGTCAGTTCCCTTTTTAACCATCAATGCACAAGAGGATTTTAAAGAGCTGTCCACGATGCAGCCCACATCTTTTCCCTAAGATCTTCCTGCTATCTTAGCACCCAGTAATACGATAGTATAAATTATTCCTTCCAATGCATGTTACACCTTGCATTTCTCATGAGTGAATGTTATCTGCTACTGTGCTACCAATTTACCTAGCTTTGGTCTTCGACCTTTTCTAGTGTTGGCTAGTCTAAATAATTGTATGGCCTCTTCAAATTTGGTCAATTCATTGCTCACTTTCGCTGCTCCTGAGTGTCATTGATAACTATATTAAATCTGGATATTTGTAGCTTCCTAATGTACTTCCAACCTGAAAACTGATCAGTAATTTCTAGTCTTTGCTTTTTAGTCAATCTCTGATCCTGTGACTACTTCATTAGTATCCATTTGCCCAGGACACTGTCAAACACTTTTTGAAAATCTAAATAAACTAGACACTCACATACTTCACTTCTTCTGTGAGCCAAATTCATGGTCCATACCACCAGTTGGTAGACTGGCTGTTTAGATGACAGCCAGAACCAGCCAACCTACACAGTTTGCAAAAA